CTGCTGGGAGCCATAAACTGTGGTAGATTAACTCCTTCCCTTTCCAGCATTCCACTACTGACATCTATGTTTAAAATGCAAGTAAAATTACTAAATGGATCTGTGTGTGACTGAATTTTAACATATCACAAAAAGTCTTAAGGGTGATTTACATCAGGAAGGATTCTTGAGAGCAAAATGCATTTACAGGTACAATATTGTTTTTAATTTTTGGCTGTCTTGCATTAGCCTGTAACCTTTGGGTTGGTTTTTTTTCTTGCTTAGGTGAAGCATTTCAATCCTTAGATGAAGAGACATTGGAAGCAATGGCAAAACATGAGACTGAAGAAGACAAGATCTTCCAAATGTTTAAAGAACGAGTAGCTGTTGAACCAGAGCAGGTCAGAAGATGGGGCAGCCTTAGAACTGACAGGTTCTGGGATAGTATCCTGCTGCACCTGCAAAACATTTCACTTTTTTAGGCACCATTTGTACCTACAGTTAGAAATGCTGGTGGGGATGCCTCCTCAGCCCCCACACACCTTAACCAGCATACCCTATTCTTCCTCCCGTGCAGAACTTGATTCATGCTGAAGTAAGAATTTAGCACCTGCTTAACTATCTCACACAGAAATTGGTCAGGATGAGAAGGCACAGGGGCGCTGAAGCCAGCATGCTGGAGGAGGACCTGCCATCCTGTGACGTGGTTCTAACCAAAGGAGGTGGTGAACCCTTGCACTCCTCCACAGCCTTTGGCCCTGTTGGCTTCCCTTCTCAGCAGAAGCAAAACTGCAGAGAAGGAGCTCTGTCACTGTCACCAGCTGCATGGTGGGGGTTGGTTTGGCTTTTCTTAAGGTTGAAGAAATCAGTGACAGCTTTAAAATGTCAACTATTAAAACAGAAATCTCCCACATGCTATTTCTTGCTAACACAAGAGGCTGAAAAAAGCCACATTGTCAAACAAAAATGTGGTTCTTGGTTCCATTCAGAGGGAACACAGACCTAAATCTATGAAAGTGGTGGAGGAAGAAGAAATTCTCGCCATGTTTTACCTGGTTAGCTCAGGTGTTAACGGTGCGCACACAGAAAGTAGGAGACTTGGAGTCTGTTCCCTCCTCTGCTTGGGTTAGGTGCATCCCTCTCTGCCCATCCCCATACTGACTGATCTGCATAAGTGTCCTCTTGATAATGCCTGATTTGCTATATAAATACTTAAATAATAACAAAACAAAGGATGTGAATGTCTGAAAATGTCTCCTCCTTGGACAGTCCCCTTACATTTAGACGCAGAACTGCAAACAAAGAGCTGGGTTGCATTTCTGACTTCTCTGTACACTTCTATGTGCCAGTTATCAATCTGTTCTTCCTCCATCTCAAGGCTATAAAATAAATGATTTAACATTTCTGGGTCCCTTGATTAGAGAAATACAAATTGCAGTTTTATCCCTAGATCATCATAAAAACGCTGTATGAGTACTTGCATTATTTAAATAGTTAAGAGAACTTTATATAAAGAACCTGTCTTACTTAGAATACCACATTTGCAATCGATAGACTTTGCCATGGGTGTTACTTAAAGGAACTGACCTTTTTCTGCACCATCTTGCATCTTTGTCTGTGTCAGTAAATACAAATTTTATACCAAGATGAACTCTATTTCAGATTATTAGATACTGCAGAGGAGGAGAAGGCCCACTCTGGGTATCTGGTGAAAATATTCCTGATGAAGAAGATATCCCAAATTGTTTATGTGGTGCCAAAAGGATTTTTGAATTCCAGGTATGTAAATTCATTTTAAATTATAATATAGATAATACAGTTCAGACTTAACAGGGTCTAATTGTATATGCGTTGGCTTATAATTAGAATAAGGTGGTTGAAGTTGCTACAAGCTAACTATGCTAAATTGTACAGAGCCCTTATTTACTGTTGTAACTGCATTTTCCTACAAGACTTTCGCATACAGAAGGTAGGTTCCCATCTGATAATTTGCACCATTCATAAAATGGTACACTTGTGAATATGCAACCATCTCTTAAGTAACAGGAGTCTGGTATTGTATATTTAAAAAAAAAAAAAGCCTTCACAATGTGAATTGGAAATCTGGCTGGCTGGAATTATTCAGCTGTAGAATTTTGAATGCTAGAAACATATGTATGGTGAATACACTTAATGTCACACAAAGGCAAAACATCGTTATGAAGGTAATTTCAAATGGAAGGAGGCTTACAAATCAGACGCTTAGTCAAATAAAACTTCTGTAGATAAAGTAAGTTTAGCCTTTAGTAGCCTAGATAAAGTAACCATGCCTTTGGTTCCCTGTGCCTCTACAACAGTGCTTTGGGAATTGCAAATTTATTTTATTTGAGCTGCTGTGTTACTTAGCAGCTTTGGTTGGGATTTTGGTGTAAGAGAACATAAATGAAGGCAGGACCCTTCTTTGGGAAGAGACGCAGGGAGAGGGTAGAGAGCTGTGGCCTGCCCTGCCTCTAAACCTTTGTTTTTCCTTGAAGATTATGCCACAGCTCCTGAACCACCTTCAGGTTGACAGCCTTGGAGAAAGCATTGACTGGGGAACACTGGTGGTGTACACTTGTGCTGACAACTGTGGTGAGGGAAATGAATACCTGGAAGAGTTCATATGGAAACAAGACTTCTCTGCAGGCTCTATTTAACTTCCATCCAGTTATTAAGTTGAGTCATCTAAATAGAATACTTGCCTTATTTCAGTGCATCTCTGCACTTTGCAAACAGGTAGTTGAATTAAAGTCACTACTCTCTGTGTATCTTGTAACAGTGATAGAACTACTAAAAATAGACCTTGACAGCCTCTCTTTTCTGCTCCACAGGAGCTTTTACTTCAACCTGGTAATGAAGCCAGATGCATTTGTTCAGTGAATTTCACTTCAAGTCTCAATTCTGAATGTTTAAATAAAGATGAAATATTTTTGGATTGGTGGAAGTATCTTTTGTTGGTGACTGAAATTCAAAAACTTAAGATTGTTGTCTGTCGGGACTTTATTTGTGCTACTCAAAAATAAACATTAATTTACAGAGAAAAGCAGATCCCTGTACGATCACTTGAGTGCTTATGCTCAGGAGGTGTACAAGTCATAGCTAAGACAAAGCTGCGTAGCCTTTCACTGTGGAACTTAAGTCCGCTTCTCTTTCTCAAAAGGTATGCTGACTCTAACTTGGCAGTTGTTCCATGTTCTGATTGGTTATTTCTGATAAAATGCACAAAAAATAACTTAAAACTATGGAGTTAAACCATTTCTGGATAGGAGTATCTAGTGTAGAAGCAGTTTGTTAAACAAAGCCAGCCATACCAGAATGTTTTTCTTGTTGCTGTCTGTAGCAATAGATTTTCAAGTTGAATTGTACCTTAAGTCTGACATCTTTGATGAACTTTAAAAGTAAGTGCCCTCTGCAGGGATTATTCTGCTATTTGGCTGCAGTGTAGCTGAGTCAAGATGAAAGTGAAGCCATAATGCTGAATTTACTGTGGTAGTTTCTTAACTACACCTGTGTTTACAAGCTGCATTTGCAGAAAAAATAAGGCTTGCCTTTTTTTTTTTGTGTCCCAGTATAGAATGTTCTTTAGTTACGTATTCCCTTATCCTGCTCAAACTGTTTATGTCTGCTTACCAGTGATGCTGGAGGTGATCTTATGTAAGCCTTAGGCCTGCTGTTGGGTTTTTTTTTTTTATTAATTTAGATGTTGGAAATACTGCAATGAGCAGGTAGGGAATGCTTTATGTATAAGCTGTTTTGTCATCACAGAACTATTTCTAAAATGTTAGTTTTAAGCCTTTGTACATGTCATGGAACAGCAAACAGTATCTTAAGTCACTATAGTACAGCTTGACTGATTTTATTGAAAACCAGTAGTTCAGGGTCCTGCAGCAGCATGGACAGTCCTACAGTTATGTTCGAGGGCACTCAGGAATGTTGACTGGCTCATTGGCACAAAGCCGTGTGGCACTGAAGGTGATGCAGTGTTTGGGTATCTTGAACTTACCCTGGCAAAGCTATGTTATTAAACAGCAGCTTTCTGCTCATTAAAACACCTGCAGAAACACCGGTGTACACCACTATGGGGGGAGCAGAGAAAACTAAGGATTAAGGTCACTTGGGATTTGCAAACAGAGCAATAGCAAAGCCAGCTAAAACTTAATTTTGTCTGCAATGAACCACCAACTTAGTAAATAAAGAGACTGTAGTTACATTTGTGTTAGTTTTAGATAAAAGCTGTTTGAAAAAACATGCAAGTCATAGAAAGGAGGTTACTATTACTGGAAATTTACTGGAGAGAAAAGTTTATTTTTAGTTCTCAGCCTGTTAAGCTTCAAGCACAGTTCAGAGAGAAGATTATGTACATACTGACTCTAGTCGGCAGGGCTTTGACATTTTACAGGAACACTAATATAGTGAGACTGTCAGAGTTGGTAAAATACAAAAGTAACAGTTTAAAGAAATTGTAGATGCTAAGCAGGGATCTTTTGTTCCAATTCAGTCAAGTATACCTATTTAAGACTTGTATAAATCCTATCCGTTCAACATAAGGCAACACATACTTGAACACAAACTTCTTCAACCAGTCATCTCTTTTGCGTTAACATACTAGAAATACTCAAGCTAGACGTTCCCAAGGATACGACTGCTGGTAAGCAAGCCGGAGCACTGTTAAGATTCTCTCAAAATGACAAGTCACTTAACAGTAGTGCATGTGCTATTGAAAAATCCAGACTGAAAGATCCAGATTAAATTAGAAAGAAGTTTTCAATATATTTCACTCTACCAGCTGGGTAACCTTAAAATTCATTAAGACAGTTCCCATAATTGTATAAACAGGGTTTATTGTACATGTGGAGCTGAAGGAGGAAAGAGGAAGAAGGTATATATTATATATATATGTACAGTGAGCCATTTTCATTAATAAATTTATTCTGACTTGCTTAATAGTGGAAAGAGGGAATGTGTCTGGCACCAAAGAAATTTAAAATTGAAAAAATTTAAAAGCTTAAGTTCTGAAAATTACAAAAACAATGGTCTTATGGAAGGAAGTTAAAACATATATACATGGCAATTTAAGTGGTTTATACACTGAGTGACACAGTTGCATTTGTCTTTTAAATGAACTTACGGATTTTCTATTCATAGAACTGGCATTAAAACTATTTAAAAGCTAGAATATAAATAAAACTTGGAGGGACTGCTTCAGGAACAGCCCAGTAAAGCAACTCACAGTAACTCAGTAGACATAATCAATAATACAGTTCCCCTTGAGCATCAGGGAAGTAGGCACTAACTGGGAAATAGTCCAAGTCCTGGTGTTGCAGTTTTACTGGAAGTCCATCTCTTGTTACTGCTGTGCCATACGCAATACTTTTTAAAATATACCCCTGATTTCTCCAAAAGATGTAGAAACTGTTACGTTGTCTTTCTGAATCCCTTTAAAATAGGATAGATGTTTTCAAATGCTTCGTAGATCTCTGCTCGTACTTTAGCACCTAGAAAAAGAGAGGGAATTAAGTTAGTTTGTACCTTTTGCCAAATACTTATTTTTCACTCTTGAATGTGACTCTATATAAAACCTATGCATATCCATAAATCCCTATTTTTATAATTTTTTTTTAAATACACATTTCATACAGAGCATACATTAGCATCCTTCTCGCTGTTTATTCTGGTAACTGGTAAAACTTCCATTAGCATCTTTATGCTTATGCTATACTTGCAAATGGGATTTTTTCTATACATAATTTCCACAGGAGACCCAATTACAAAGCATAGCCCTATGGGATGTTTCTGCAGAGAGGCCTCACTGGTGGAGCTTTTTTTGAGTGTGAACATCTGGGGGAGCAAGGTCTGGCAATGGGGAGCGCTGCAGAGGCCTGCCACTTGCCACACCGCAGGGACATGCTCCTTTTGTCTGCGAGACTTGGGTGGTTTTTTTCTCCAGAGCAAGACTCAGCAGGAGGGGAAAAGGAAGAGTGGAGGTGGAGTGCCTGAGGTTGAGGAGGTCCCAGAGCTCGGGCATCTCCCCTTCTTCGGCTGCTGTGTCAAAGGAGAATGGCAGCAGCCTCCAGCCAAGCTGTCAAAGAACAGTTAGCTCAGTCAGACATACCCAGTACACAGAAACGGACTTTCAGATTTTGCCAGAAATACTACCTACACTCTTAGAGCTTTTTGAGCACCTGCATGCTTGATTAGGATTCATGATCATTGCTTATACAGATTTAGCCAAACGTGTGGTTTGCTTTGTACGTTCTCATCCACAGAAGACTGTACTATCTGTTATTTCCCAGTGCTGTCATCTCTACAGAAAAGTACCTGGGCAGCTTACATACCTCTGGTATCATTGCGTGTTCTCTGTAATACAGTCTACGTCTAACCTATTGGAGTAAGATACCAATTCACTTACCAGTTAAAACCACTTTTCCAGAAACAAAAATAAGAAGAACAATTCTTGGCTTGATCATTCTGTAGATTAAGCCAGGAAACAATTCTGGCTCATAGCTGTAAGAGAAGAGAGTGACAGTGTTTAAACATGCTTGCAGACACCTGTTCCAGGATGGGTTCGTATTGGGCAAACTCAGTGACACCCGAAGCAGAGCAGCGAGGGGAACAAAGATGCAGGTTGCTCTCTGGTGCAAGGGAATAATCCCAACAGATGTCACTCCCTAAGCTAGTCAATATGCAGCAAGAATGAAACATAAGGAAGACTTTTTTTACCTGCTG